TAAGCCAAGGGAAGGGTTGCTCCTTAGTTTATGTCTGTCTGTCTGTCTGTCTGTCTGTCTGTATCTCCGTCTGTCTGTCTGTCTGTCTGTATCTCCGTCTGTCTGTCTGTCTGTATCTCCGTCTGTCTGTCTGTCTGTCTGTGTGTCTGTGTGTATCTCCGTCTGTCTGTCTGTCTGTCTGTATTCCGCTCCGTCTGTCTGTCTGTCTGTCTGTATGTCTGTCTGTCTGTCTGTATCTCCGCTCCGTCTGTCTGTCTGTCTGTATCTCCGTCTGTCTGTCTGTGTGTATCTCTGTCTGTCTGTCTGTCTATCTGTCTGTCTGTCTGTCTGTGTGTATCTCCGTCTGTCTGTCTGTCTGTGTATCTCCGTCTGTCTGTCTGTCTGTCTGTCTGTCTGTCTGTCTGTCCGCCATCAACAGACGGTAAGATCGCACGTAAGTTTGTCCACATATCTTAAGTGGTTAGATAAGTTAATGCATTTATTTTGCCCGTAAGTGTAAAGTTAACTTATATATCTCAAGTGTCTTAAGTAAGGGTCTTAAGTAAGGGTCTTAAGTAAGGGTCTGTCTCAAGTGTAAGTACATGTCTCAAAAAAGTGTCTCTAATCTCTTTCTCTCTATTTCTCTGTCTCTGTATCTCCCATTTTCTCTCTCTTTTCCTTCCTCTCAATAGAGCTATCTCTCCTCTCCATCTCTCTCTCTCTCACTCTACGAATTCACTTTTAAGATTGGATCATTTTAAGGTGACCGAGGAGGAGGGAAGACAGCCAATCAGCTTTCATGTTCTGGCTGTAAATCACACTGCTGACAGCTGATTGGTTGTCAGAAGACGGGGATGATGTGGTGGTGGGTGTGGTGGTAGAGAGAGAGAGAGAGAGAGAGAGAGAGAGAGAGAGAGAGAGAGAGAGAGAGAGAGAGAGAGAGAGAGAGAGAGAGAGAGAGAGAGAGAGAGAGAGTGTGAGTTTCTTTGACAATATAAACAGACCCCAGCAACCTAACCTAACCTAACCCCAACCTAACCTAACCAAACCACCACCAATACACCGGCCAATATTCGGACGCTTAGGAGACTCTAGTATCATAGACCATCCGACTCACATACCGTCCGAAGTCCAATCATTCCACCATCTTGGACGGTTGACAAGGCTTCCGGGGTTCTGGGTAACGATCTCACCTGTCTGGGTTCTAGTTGAGGGTGGGGGTGGGGTGAGGAGGAGGGTTCGTTTACCTGGGGAGGGGTGGGCCGGGGCAGAGGGAAGGTTCTACATAAGGTTCATTATTCCCCGCCCCCACCCCCTCCAAGTCCAACATCTTCCTCGTGGCTGGATTAGGGACTTTCCTGAACCTAAGTCCAACAGTGTACAAGCCTTCACTCCCAGGCTCCTCATGGCCTAGTGGGCACTCACAACGGGAAATATTTCTGCCGTGAGTAACATGGACGTTGGTGATAATTATTTACACCCCCTCTCTCTCCCTCCTCTCACTATCTCTCTCATTTTTCTCCTTCTCTTTCTGTGTGTGTGTGTGTGTGTGTGTGTGTGTGTGTGTGTGTGTGTGTGTGTGTGTGTGTGTGTGTGTGTGTGTGTGTCCCACCCCTTTGTTTCTTTTCATACATGTTTATTTGTTTCTTTCTTTCTCCTTCTCTCTCTTTCTCTATCTCTCTTTTTATCTCTCCATTATTTCTCCTTCCCTCCCCTTCATTTCCTCTTTCTCTACAACCCTCTCCAGTTCCCTACTTCATCCTCCTCCTCCTCCTCCTCCTTCTCTCCCATTCCTCTTTTCCCTCATTTCCCTCCTTCCTTCTCTATACTTCTACAATCTCGTACCTCTTTCCTTCCTTCCCTCCCCTCATCTCTCCCTCCCTCCTTCCCTCCCATCTCATCATCTCTCCCTCCCTCCTTCCTTCCCCTCTCATAACCTCTCCCTCCTCTCCTTCTTGGAACTGCTTCATTCATTTCTCTAACAGGTACGAGAATCCTCAGAAACAACAAAGACTTTTAATTGGTAGTTATGAGTATGACCCAATTAGTTTGCTCTCCTGCTGCTGACAACTGGTCATTGGCACGAGGGAAGGTAGACAGGCTTACAGACAGAAATTACCCAGGTGTGTATGAGTGGCCCTGACAGGTTATTTAGACAGTTAGTTGTTCAATCAGGCCACCACAATAGGGAGTTGTGGTGATTGTCAGGCCACCACAGTAGGGAGTTGTGGTGATTGTCAGGCCACCACAATAGGGAGTTGTGGTGATTGTCAGGCCACCACAATAGGGAGTTGTGGTGATTGTCAGGCCACCACAATAGGGAGTTGTGGTGATTGTCAGGCCACCACAGTAGGGAGTTGTGGTAATGGTCAGGCCACCACAGTAAGCGTCATGGGAATCGGCCGGTGAAGACCAAATATAGTGGCCACATCACTTCTATATTTGTCTCTCCCAGACTGTCCTCCTCCTCCACCTCCTCCTCCATCACCACTACCACCTCCACTCTCCTCCTCCTCCTCCTCCTCCTCCCCCTCTCTTCCCTCCTTCTCCTCTTCTCTCTCTCCATCTCACTGGGGAGTTTTCTCAGCTCATCGTGTGGTCTAAATTATCCTCACTGTGTATACTAAAGGTGTTTACATCTGGCCTCCTAGAGAAGTTTGTTTTGGACCGATTTGGAACTATAACAGTGTGTGTGTGTGTGTGTGTGTGTGTGTGTGTGTGTGTGTGTGTGTGTGTGTGTGTGTGTGTGTGTGTGTGTGTGTGTGTGTGTGTGTGTGTTGCTATCCTGCCTATCTCTCATTCTTCTTTATCATTCTTTATCTTACTCTTCCTTTATGACCTCAATGATCATGAAAAAAGACCAACAGACACTTTACGAATGCAATATATCACCACAACCCGGTCATAATAATTGACCTTTGACCTTTGACCTTTTATAACTTCATCTGTAACAACTGAACCACCGGAGTACATGATGATTAATTTACTGTATCGCCACACCTGAATGATACCCTCAGAATACAATAGTCTGTGCTCGGGTTTGTAGTCTTTATAGAAAACGGACAGTGGTGATGATATTTACTGACCCGTATAACAAGAGTTTGTTTTATAATCGCTGTAATTAGTCGTCTTTCTTTAATATACCGAGATAATTATTCTAACCTAAAAGTAATGATGGTAAGTACTCGATAAATATTTTTTCAAAGGATTTTTCCCCTAATCCACAAAAACCAAAAACATCCCAGGTAATTTCACAAAACTGAGCCAATATCCACTATAATCCAAACCAGGTTATATTTACCCATTTCAAAATCCACATAAATCGTATATAATCCCAATAATCCACTCATCATCGTATATATCCACCTGTAAATCCGTTTTAATCCGTGACAAAATCCAGTGATGAAAAGGCAATAGGCTACACAGGTGTTAGTCAGGTCAGGTGTTAAGGAGGGAGAGAAGGGTGGCAATGGACGACCCAGTGTTATGGTGTAGAGTGGTGCAAGTCTTCACACACCACTCAGTAATGGTGCTCAGGGCCACAACAGAGAGAGAGAGTGAGAGAAAGAGAATCACACACACTCTACACCACAACATTGGGCCACATCACTTTGCCTTCAGTATATCCAAAAATAATAAAAGATCAGAAGAAAAAAAATTATTGGTTTATAATTATTAATTTTAATTCTATGGTGAAAATAATGATCTGTGATAAAACTATTAATTTTTATTTTTAAAGTTTTATATAAAATGTGATATATAATTATTCTGGAAAATAAAGGAAAATTATGGTGATTATAGTGAAGAAAATAATAATAATGATAATGATAATAATTATGATGATGATGATGATGATGATGATGATGATGATGATAATGTGTTTTTGTATGTACGTGTGTGAGGGGGACAATTTTATAAAGGTCTCTCTCTCTCTCTCTCTCTCTCTCTCTCTCTCTCCTCAACTAGTAATGGACAACATCTTGAAGCATCACCAATAACACTTCACTACTAAACTCCTCCCCCCCTTTTTTTGACGTCCTTAGCAACCATTATAATCCTCGGCAGATGATTGGTTGTCTGGTTGCTAAGTGACTCATGACGTCATATCAACAAATACACAGTCATTTTCCCCTCATTTTAAGTCTAAAGGAATAATATTTTTTGTTTATGAATTTCCCGCTGTGGGGACTCGATTTACTGTACATAGCAACCAGCGATCAATCATCTTTCGGTGATTATTATGGTTGCTAAGGACGCTAAAAAAGGGGGAGGAGTTTAGTAGTGAAGTGTTAATGGTGATGCTTCAAGATGTTGTCCATTACTAGTTGAGAGAGACCGTGTTAAAATTAGCTTATTAACACAGGTGTCAGGAGATACAGGTAAGCTATTATGTGCCGCAATTAGTCTGTCTCTGATGATGTGTTTGTCTTAGTGTCTGTCTGTTTTGATTGTGTGTGTGTGTGTGTGTGTGTGTGTGTGTGTGTGTGTGTGTGTGTGTGTGTGTGTGTGTACAATACTACTCTTTTAACGTAAAGGCATTACTCTTATTTTATCACACACACACACACACACACACACACACAGCATCTCACTATTCAGTCTCCTAATTGCTGCTTCTGTTTTTAGTTTTTGTTACAGAATTTACTTAACTATTTCAGGGTTGTATTTCGGTGTTTGTTTTTGTCGTGTTTCCGGATTATGTTCCAGTTTTTGTTTGTTTCCGGGTCGTGTTTCAGTGTTTACTTGGTTATTTCAGGATTATGTTTTAGCCCTTTCTGTTTTTTCTTGGCTTGATGAAAGTAAGGAGAATTTGACCTGTGAATGATGATGAAGATGATGATGACGCAGTGAACATGAGTGAATATGAATGATAGTGATGGAATTAAAGTGATAGTGACACCTCAGAGAACATGAGAAATTGAATAAATGTGAGATAGTGAGTGAAGGATGATAGTGATGAGGAGAGATATGAGTGATGGTGAACATGAGGGATGAATGAAGGTGACCCCTCCTGTACACACCTCAAACAAGGGCTTCTTGGCGTAGTAAGAGTCCGGCATATACCAGGTGTTTTCGATCACTCTGGCGGGCGCGAGCTTCCTGCCGGTAAGACCTCGCTCGAAGAACTTGAAGCCTTCCTCGTCTATCAGCAGATAAGGCACGATGCCGTAGCAGATGGATCGAGCAAATTCTCTGGGGATGACAGCTTGCATATCGGCCTTTGTGACCACGATAGCCATCCCTTTCTTAAACTTATGCAGCTCTGACTTGGCTCTTCCTGCCTTCTCAGAGTCGAGAGTCTCCAGGAAGGACTCGCCACAGCGCTTGTCTTGCATGATCTCCCGGAAGAGTTCGTCAGGTAACATGTCGATGAATTTGTCCGCCTCCTTCCTGTCCTCCCGGATTTGCTCGAAGATCTTGGTAGGAATGTCTTTGGAGGACGCCACGTGTCGGAGGTTGAACTTGTCCACGTTTTCTTTCGGCTCCTTCGGCAGTTTGAGGAGCAAGTTAGCGGTCTTTAGCTGTTCTCTGATTTTCTTGCGGTCCTTCAGTCCTTCAGGGTTATTCTGCAGGACCTGTAGCATCTTGGCCACTTCTGGGTCACGTTCTGCGATCTGGTGAAGAACGATCAACTGCCGCAGGACAGAGACCACGTCCTGGTTGTCACGGAGAGCGTTGGGGTCAGATGGCTCCGATATGAACTTCTCCAGCATGGCAGCGACCTCGACGTTCCCCGTGACACAAACGATACCAACGGCCTCTGTCAGCAGGATCTGGGTGCGTGTGTCCGTGAGGAGGTTCTCGGGGTCGATGTTCAGGAGATGGATGATATCGTCGATCTCCCTGTCGCAGCGCTTCGACACGACCCTCTGGATGGCTTTCCTGAGGGTTCGTCTGGCTTGGTCGTTTCTACTGATGGCGTCGGTGTCCGTAGAGTCGATGTAGTCTACAATGTCGCTGATGAGGTGTTCGTCTTCACCCAGGAACATGCGCACCACTTCCCCCGACCCGTTCACCGTGGCTAGGATGTGCGTCATGGCGTCCACCTGCAAGGCCGTCAGGTTGTCGTGTTCCCTCTCTCCTAGCATCCTGGAGAGTTTCTTCATCTCCTTAGCTCTCCTCGACTCAGAGTAGCAGGTGGAGGCCTTGATGAATTTAAGCAACACGTCCACCTTGTCTGTTCCTTCATCTGGCTCCTCCACCTCCAGTTTTTCATCCTCTTCTGCTGCGTCCAGTTGTACTTTCGCTTTCTTCTTCTTCTTTTTCTTCTCTGGTGGGGGAGGCTCGGGGGTCACGCCATGGACCACTACAGTGTTTACAGCCAACTTCTGCAGCGTAGCGGAGTCGATGAGGCCGTCCTCGCTGAAGATGGGGGAGTGAGGACGTGTGTCTGTGGGGTTGGTCATCAAGAGAGCGAGTTCTTCCTCGCTGATCTCGAAACCTTGGAATGAGATCTGGAAATCCTCGTCGATCTCGTCTGCGTCGGGAGGAACATACTTCAGGCCCTCGTCCGTCTCGATGATTGTGCCAGGGATGAACTTGGGCCCCTCGGGACTCTCGACGACCTGTCCGGGGACGAAGCGTGGCCCGGCGTTCGTCTCCACCAGCTGACCCGGGACAAAGAGCTGACCCTCGTCTGTGCTCATCATCTGCCCCGGGATGAAGGTGGCGCCATTCTTGGTCTGGATGATCTGACCAGGCACGAACTTCGGGCCTTCGTCCTCCACAATGACCTGACCTGGTACAAACTTTTCGCCCCTGGCAGTCATCACGACCTGACCTGGCACAAACTTTGGCCCGTCGGTGCTCTCGACGATCTGGCCAGGTATAAACTCCTCCCCGTGACTGGTGTTGACCGTCTGACCCGGCACAAACTTCTCCTCGTCCATCGTGTTCATCAGTTTGCCAGGAACGAACCTCTTGTCGCACTCATTGACGATCAGTTGGCCCGGGATGACCTTAGACTCCGGTGAGACATCCTTGGGCAGTCTGCCAGTGATGTAAAACTGCACAGCCTCCTGAGTCTCCACCATGTCTCCATACAGCTTCTCGCCAGCCTGAACAGTGTCCGTGTTGGTGGGATTAACAATAAATCCTGCCACGTTCCTGTCGGCGACGGCCAGCGGCTGGAGCTCCTTGTTGGGGATCACGAGCCACTCGCTGATCTTGGACACCTCGAAGGGACGATGCTCGAACTTGAGCGTACCTTCCTCGTCCTCAACCAGGTCACCCTTGATGAATTTCTTACCCTCTGGGGTGTCGAAGGTCTTGCCTGGCACGAAGGTTGGGCCCTCGATGGTGTCCATGATCTGACCCGGCTTGAAGGTAAGACCTTCCTCGGACTGGAATGCTTGACCCGTGACGAACTTGTCGCCTCCTTCAGTAGGTATCTTCATGCCAGGCACAAACAGGTTCTCACCGTAGGCGTCCACAGTCACCTCACCTGGACTGAATTTCGGTCCATCATCGGTGTCGATTGTCTGACCAGCCACAAAGACCGACTCGCCGTTTCCTCGGTCCATCACTTGTCCAGCCACGAACTTTGGACCATTAGGACTGTTGAATATCTGACCAGCCACGAAATTAATTTTCTCGTCGAGCGACTTGACGCACTGACCAGGCACGAAGTTGATGTCCCCTTTACTGTTCATGACAGTCTGACCAGGTACAAACTTCTTCCCCAGTGGCGTCTCCACCGTCTGGCCGGCCACGAAGGACTCTTGGTCAGCTAACTTAATGATCTGACCAGCCACGAATTTCTTCTTTTCGTCGACCTCCACCAGGGCCCCAGACACGGCCTGGATCTCGCCCGGAACGTATTCTGACTTGGCCACAAACTCGACCCCATCCTCCTTCTTCACCAAGTACCCTAACTCAGCGTTCTCGATACCCATTGCGATCTTGTTGATCTCAGTGAAGGCTGGGATCATCTCCACGTCTTTCGTGGACTTCAGGGTTTCAGCAACATGTTCAGTCTTCTTCAGGGCCTCCACCTCCATATGGTAAACTACCCTCGCTACTTCCTGAGGCATCGGCAGTGCAGGTCTGACGGTCTCGACCGACACAACGATCTCGAGGTTCGTCACATCGTCCCTCGTCACTACTTCTTCCTGAGCCACTACAGTTTCCTGGAACTCCACGGGGTCGATCCATTCCTCGTGCGGGAAGCTCTCCCAGTCGAAGCCGACGCTCTCAGCCTCGTTGACAGCATGCCAATCCAGACCCGAGGCCACGGCTATGATTTTTACCGAGGACACTTGAGCTTTCATAATGTCCGCCAGCATTCTCTCATACTGCAGCTGCTCGTCTTGCAGTTTCTTGACGTCAACTTTAGGGAGAAGAATTGCCTTGTTATCGGCTTGTTCCTTCAGCATCGCCTCCATCTTGGCTAGTTTCTCTGCTCGCTGTTTGGCGTTAAACTTTACTCTGGGTTTGTTGTACGCGGGCTTGACGGTGTCTCTCAGTTCCTCTGCTTCAGCTTTAGCATCAAGAGCCTCGAAGCGTTGTTTCCTGGCCAGTGTGTTCGCCTTCCTCTTGTTTCTCTCGTCCAGGATCTTCTGCTGCTCCTCCAGTACGTCCTTGTTCTGTCCCCGGCCGTAGAACAGGTTTTCACGGTCAACAATCTCCGAAAACGCGAGCGTCCTGAGGTCCATCTTGATAATACGTCCCATTCTGATCTTGACGTTGACGTACTTGCTGTCCTTGCTCATGGACAAGGTCTCCAGCTCGCCCAGCCTGATAGCTTCCTCCATCTCCGGGGGCACCACCAGGTTCGTCTTCTGCTCGGACATGTGGTACACAAACTCATGATCATTATCCGGCCGCTTCTTCAATTTTATTTTCATCTTCTTCAGTACGTCCTCTAACTGGAAGTAATTCTTCTCGTTTTCTTTGGTCCTCTCAAACACAGGTCTAAGGTAGATTAAACTCTCGTGTTTGGTGATCTTGCATCCCTCTGTACCGTCGAAGCGGATTGGTTTCCCGAAGGAGATGATGGGGGAGTAAGAGTGGATATCTGACGCCTTGCCGGTGATCTTGCATAGTTTCTTGGCCTCGGCGGGCGTGATGGGCGGCAGCAGGGGGAAGTAACAAGGCTTGGGGAGGTTGCGGGCACAGCCGGTGATGCGACAGAAGGTTGTCATCTTGGCGACGTGTTTCTTCTACTACTAATGATGTCTCAACGAATATGTGACTCTCTCCTTCCACCACCTCACTACTCGTCCTCATGTAGGGGTTCTCTCTCTCCCTCTATCTTAATAAACAACAACAACACGTCCAGTAACACCACAATATAACCCTCGCTTACAATCTCTCGTTTGTTTTTCTTTGCTATTAATCTCTCACTCACTTATTCTTCTCCTCCTCTCTCTTTTCAATCTCTTTCACTCTCCTGGGGGATTATCAATGAATCCCTCACCTCCCTTTTCGTCATCCCAACACACTCGTATCTCCAGGTTTCCCCTTGTCACATACTTTATCAAACATTATCATATTTTTATTTTTATTTATTTTTATTTTTCCTTAACCCACACGAGGCACTAACGGGATATGGAAGCACATGTGATAATTGCTTCAGTTTTCTCCCTTTTGCTTCAGGAGGCACCCGGGCAGAGTCTCCTACGACAACACTAAGAGCAGGAGAGAGTCAGGGAGAGTGCCACATTTTACGTGAGCGCTGGGAGAGAGAGCGAAGCGCCAACTGGGCACCCGCGGGCACTTGTGGCACCTTAGCCGGCACTATAGCTGACTGGCGGACCCCTCCAGCCGGGAAACTTGGC